GGCTGAGTCAACCCTGAGCCGGTGAGATTTGAACCGCTGAACTGCTGATCTAGCAGTAGCCTGCAGTGCTGCATTTAACCACTGCGCCACCTTCTATATAAATATAGAAGCGAATTAATATTGATATGTACAGGTATGATGACGTAACAATGTTGATGTAATGATTGTAAGATGTTATGGAAGGAAAAAATAATAAAACAAAATCTCAAAAATAAATAGCAATAATAATAATAATAATAATAAAAGATTTTAAAAAAACAAAGGGTGATGTTTCTTAGTGCTTGCTACAATCGCTTCTAATGATTTATTTGCTAAGCTGGCCTTTGCTCAACAAATGGCATGTATTTGAATATATTTTGAAATGTTGAGAATATGGGATGTTTTTTTTAGATGATCTTGAACAATTTTTGGATAGATGGCTGTAAATATGTTTCTGTATCTTTCCGTTTTAGAATCCATTGTCGTAATGCTGGCCCAGTGGCTGTCTCGAAGAAGTGCATCTCTGAAATTGCAGGAATACTGAAAGCTAAAGGTTTCTGTCAAGGTTGTGACACGTTGTTTGTCACCGACGACCAAATTATTCACCATCGTTGCAGAAACGTTGCCAAGATTAAACGTATCACCACAATGGAAGAATCCATATTATTATTTTGTCACACCAATGAACGGAATAAAAGAGCCCCTCACCTGCAAAATAACGCAAGCCTTTTGAAATCTTCTCTGAAGAGACATTTGGAATTGAACGGCGAGAAGAATGAAACCATTTCAAAATGGAAAAGGGATTTGCGAGACGGTAGCGAAGCCATTCACAGAGCTCCCACGGTCAAAATCTGGGTATGCCAGTGTGATCTGGCCTTTCCTTCTGAAGAGTTGGCAGAAAAGCACATTTTTTCTGAAAACAGGATCTGCTACAAGTGCAGCGTATGTGGGAAACTTGCAGAAAATCCGAGCATTATCCGCTTGCACATGAGCCGTTTCCACGGAGGAGCACATTTGACTAACTTCATCTTCTCATGCCAGATTTGCAATGTAGCTCTTCAGAAAGAGGACGATGTCCTTATCCACGTAACAGGACTTCACGATGGACATAACTTCTATTTTGAGAAGGTCACTGCTGAAGGGGAGCTAACAATACCTTCCGATTCACGGTACGGCCCTTGTACTAAACAAGAAGGCCAAGCTTCAAGCCTCCTTGAACTTTCTCCAGAGCAGACTCAGATGGAGGTTGATGAGAGTCCTCCCCAGTGGCAATGTAAGATATGCGAGGAAATATTTAACTCCGAGGACAGCGTGAAACAACATTGCAAATCGCTCGAGAGTCATCATCATCACAGGTACAGTTGCGGCTTGTGCAAAATGACTTTTCGGAAAATGGAAACACTGCAGCGACACTGCCAGGGAAAACACAACAACGTTGTACAGATGAAATACTTCTGTGGGTTTTGCGGCGACCTCTTCTTTGACATTGAGGAGGAATTTTTACTTCACTTCAAGTGCATGCATAGCATGGATTACGTGTGTGTGTCCGAGGCAGCAGAAACCTCAATCAAAAACGAAGAAATCCTAGAAGAAGGTAGCCTTCTAAACTGTGGTTGTCGTGAGAAATATGTTTGCAAAAAGAACAGGAAGCTCGACCACAAGAAATGCCAAGAAGCCATGTTGGAAAAAGGAAACATGTGGTTTCGTTGCACTTCATGCTCTGCTACAACACAAACCTATTCTGACATGGTGGCTCATATCACGAGCCACCCGAGCGAACAAACGGCTCAAGATTTCTGTGTAGTCCGATGTGGCTCATGTAACAAACATTTTAATAGTATCGCTATTGCACATCAGCACTTCCATGATAAACACTGTTTTTTACAAAAGCCTCAAATATCTTTTGGGCCGCAAGCAGAAAATAATGTCTTCCACTTCTCTGCTGTGAGCTCCTGTTCAGAGGAGGATGTAACTTCAACACGTTCTTCAGATGTAAAAAGGCTGGACGATGCAAAGAAAGAACGAGAGAGGAAGCATTCTGAATCGAGTGAACAAGGTAGGGGGGATTCAAACCATGCACCGCTAATGAGACTGATGAAGAGGCAGTGCAAAGCATTTGATAAAATTTGATAAGCCAAACTATTAAGCAATGCAAATTTTGTTTATGTAGTAATCAATTGACATTACTGTAACGCGCTTTACATGGGGCTGCCCTTGAAGAGTGTTCGAAGACTTCAGTTAGTCCAGAACGCAGCTGCGCGAGCGATTGTGGGTCCACCCAGGTACCCCCACGTCACACCTATCCCCCGCGAGCTGCACTGGCTACCCATTAGTCTCCGGACT